GTCCTCAAACGGTAGTCCTTTGACAGTGTCGATAATTTCAGCGTTTTCCAACTGACTGGAGGGGTCACACAAGAAGAACAAAGGGTTGACCTTGGCAATTTCCAAGACCCGCTTGATCAGATATTCGAAAGGTACACCTGGTGGGAAATAAGCCGCGAATTTCCGGAAGACAGATTCTGGGGGGAAGATGCCCGCCGCACTCAGCGGTGGGGGCTCCAATTTCATAGCCTGCTGGATGTATGGAAGGTCAACCTCTTCGAGGCAGGAGATCAGGCCCACGTTAGGCTCTTCATTTGTGCTTTCCGTGGCGTTGGCTGGACGATATCGACCAGCACGGCCACCGATTTGTTTGATTTCAGGGACAGTAAGCCGTTGAAGTCCAGTCGGGACACGCTTGACGAGGGTGTCAAAGATAACACGCTTGCAGCTCCTGTTGTGGGTTAGTATAGAAGCGCAAGACAAGCAGCGAGGGCAAAACTCACAGATTAAGACCCATGCCAATTGCGTCGCTTGCCACGAGGAAGTCATAGTCATTATCTGGGTCATTGAACAGATTCGCCTGTTGGGTCCGAATCTCTGCTGGCAGACCACCATAAACGATGGCCGCGCGTCTTCCAGTGGTCTTCTCGATGTCTGCTTTCATAGCGTGTATACCTTTCCGGGAGAAGACGACTATACAATCACCCTTTTCCAGACTATTGAGATTACCCTTCAAACTGTGCGGCATCACTTCCAAGGCGTTGAGACGTTCGTAGCGGTGAACCTCCAAATTATCTCCCGTGAGTGCACATAGCTCCCGAATCAATGGTACGGCTCGGGTCTCACCGCACAGGTGCAGTTCGGCTACCTGGGCACCAAGGAAAGCTCGAGTCCATGCCCATCCTCTGGATGAGTTAGCAATCATTTGGATCTCATCAATCACGCCAACATCGTATTCCTGCCCCAGGCTGACCATTTCAACAGTATTACTGGTGATGCGTGGCACTTGATCATCATCGGGAAATTTGACATCGTCACCAGTGACAAGACTGCACGGAACTCCATCTGCCTTGAATCGGTGATATACTTCTTGCGCGAGCAATCTCAGTGGACCTGCGTAAAACCCATTCTTACTTTTTGCCAGCCGTTGTAATGCATGGTAGGTTTTCCCGGAGTTCGTTGGCCCAACATGAAGATGGATTGTTCGCTGCATCGATCGTGCGCGCGGATACCACTCGGCTGGCCATCGAAGGTCGGCCACTTCCTGCTGTGCTGCCAAAATGGGTGCCGAAAACCTGGCTGTAAGATTTTCCGAGTACTGCATATATTCTACCTCCTCCCGCAGACCCTGAAGTCCGGAGGCGAGGTAGGCCTTTTGCAGCGCTACCTTTATATGCCGAAGGGGTCCCCAATGTGCAGATGCCTTCTTATCATCTGATTTGCAGGCATTTTTGATTTGACGTTCAAATTGAATCCATACTTCCAGTGATTCTCCTGACTTATTCAGCTTGCTGTATATATCACGCAGGGTTGCTTCCACTAGTTCGTTGAAATCTCGTGCGGCCGCAATATCCTGTCGGACGGACCTTCCGGAGGAACCTCCAACAGCTGTTTTGCCTCTTTTTGTGTCCGCTTTCCTATCTGTGGAGATATCGGGCTTGGACTTTTTCGATCGCTGTAGAATTGAGGTTGTGGTGAAGGGTCGTACAGCGAAATGAGTCAAGGGTCGGAAAGCGCAGAGAGAGCGACTACCGCCAGTCCATGGCTGCATTCCTGGAGGACGGGGACTCCAATCCCGTAGAGTGGTACAATTCTAGAGCAGAACAAATCGAACAGTTGAACAGCTTGTACCTAAGAATTGGACGGGGAGAGAGGAAAGGACAAGGGACATAGGAGAGACAAAAAAGTTCCCTTATCGACCTGATCCACTTTAAAGCTCTAATGGTGGGGAACACTATCTTCTCTTCATATACCTCAGACGGCCACCTAACAACTCCTCCTTCTCAGGGCATTTAAGCTAAGCATCTAGTCAATCTTCGTTGCTATCTGCCTGCTTTTTTAATTGCTCTTCCATTTTTGTTCCAGTCCTCGCCCTGAAGCCCCAAGTTGTGGGCTGCCCGCCATCATGGGCTCCTCGATAATCAACATTCAACGCGACTGTGAGTGACTACTCCTATTACCTCCTGCAAGAACCCTTGGCTGACCTTCAACTGTCTGGAATAGTTATACTGAACACAATTCGCAATACCGGTGGCAATGAGGTAAGCCTCCTCCGATTAACCCCTCTGCCGCGGATACTGACGGTACCCTCCCCTTAATAGTGGAAAGTCTTGGTGGTGGATGAGACCAGCAAGAAATTGATTGACGGAGCTGTGAAGGAAGAAGAAATTCTCAACCTCAATGTTTCCAGTGAGCTCATCTTATGCTTTGCGACTCAAGCAATTTCACTAATGCCACTCTGCAGACGTCGAGCAGCTCGAACATCGACGACTGTCCAATCCCGATATGGACGCGTTGTACATACTATCCTCGGAATCTTACGTGGTCGATTGCCTTATGGCAGATTTTGAGGTGGGCAGATACAGAAAGGCATTCCTGGTGTGGACTTCATGTTAGTGGGCTAGTGAACCCGAGGCCTTTGCGACGTCATTCCGCTCACACAGCTTGTAGCCCTTGACCCGCAGCAGCGATCTCGGATTGACCGATCCCAAATTGCGCGTGAGCGCATTGCCGAATTTTACACCATGAACATCAATTTCTACCCCAGAGAATCACACTTGGTCACATTCCGGGATCCGTGGAGCTTCCCGATGCTCTTCCACCCGGGTTGCAACAATTTGATTCGGCACCATTTGGAAGAATTAGCCCAAAAAGTAAGACACGCCCTACGATTATTCCGGTTTAGCTTGCTGACATTGAATCAAGGTTGTCTCTCTATGTGCTTCTCTGGGCGAGTACCCTATAATTCGGTACTACCGGCCCCGATCTCCGACCCACGAGGCCGCAGTTATGTGCTCTCACTTGGCACGTTTCATTCAAGATGAATTGGATCAGTTCGCGCAGCATCAGCGTGACTTTCCGCCTCAAACAAACCGTCCCCGAGGCGTGCTGCTTGTAGTAGACCGTTCCATGGACTTGTTCGCACCTCTCCTTCACGAGTTTACATACCAGACCATGGTCCACGATCTTCTTCCTATCACGGATGGGGACAAGATCACCTACAAAACGGTTGTAAATGAGGGTGCAAACAATGAGGAGGTCAAGGAAATGGAGATTGGTGAGAATGATCGAGTCTGGGTAGACTACCGTCATATGCATATGAAGGATGTGCTTGGGAAACTGGGCGAGGACTTTGCCAAGTTCCGAGCAGCACACCCTCAGTTTGCAGACGAGTGAGTTTCAAACGGTCATCCCTATACGGGAGTCGCACTACTAACTTGGGATTTTAGCAACGACAAATCTAATGTGAACACCATCAAGGATATGCTGGGTGGACTGACAGAATTCCGAGAGGGTAAGGATGCCTACACGCTGCACCTCAACATGGCACAAGAGTGCATGAACTACTTTCAATCTCGCAAACTCTTAGAAGTGAGCTCCACCGAGCAGTCATTCGCCACTGGTCTGGACGAGAACTACAAAAAGGCAAAGAACTTAGCAGCGCAGCTCGTGCAGCTCCTCGACGACGACTCAATCGTACAACCAGATCGGCTTCGACTCATACTTCTGTACATCATGCATCGTGGTGGATTGTTAGGTGGTGACATTCGCAAACTCATGGCGCACGCTGGACTCCCGCCAAAAGACGGCGGGGTGATTGCCAACCTCGAACTCCTCGGGGTTCGTGTCGAGAAGCCTCTCAAGGATGAAAAGCCTTCGGTGCATGCTCTTTTCGCCCGACGCAACCCACCACCCGAATCAGCGGAGCTCAGCCTGAGTCGGTACGAGCTAGCTATCAAGCAGATGCTCGAAGACCAGATTCAGGGCAATCTAGACACGACGTCTTTCCCCTTCACACGCCCGCATACTGAGACGGACAGCGCCATGGCTGCCCAAGAAATGCAGTCACAGCAGGCCTCCTTACGCAGCGCAAAACCGACCTGGGCACGCACAAGATCCGTCGACCAGCCTCGACAGCGCATAATTGTCTTCATGGCCGGCGGTGCCACCTACGGCGAGTCACGAGCCTGTTACGAAGTCTCAGCGGCACAAAACCGGGACGTCTACCTCGCCACGACGCACATGCTGACCCCGGGACTGTTCCTCCGCCAAGTCGGGGACCTCGGTGTTGACCGGCGTCGTCTTGACCTCCCATCGGATCGCCCCAAACCTACCGCCCCAGCCTATCTCTTCGAGCGCGAGGCCCCACCAGCTCCCAATCTACCACCACAGAAGAAGCCCGTCTCAACAGCACACCTCAACCCCCCAGCTCCGCCAGAGGCGTTGATGGCTGGTATGTCAATAAGCTCAAACGGAAGCGGAAGCAGCCCCGCCTCATCGGGCAGCGGAAAGCACGACAAGAAAGACAAGAAAGACAAGGAGAAGAAGGAGAAGAAGGAAAAGAAATACCGTTTCTTCTAAGATTCTGCATTACCGTGTCACTTGATCCCATCCTACATCCCGTGTCCTACCGTCCCTGTCCAGCGCTTTTGTAACACCATTCTTCTCCTTGTTATTATGTTGGTCTGGTCTGGTCCCGAGCATTCAAGGCGCTATTCTCAGCGGTTTTTTCTATATCTTTCCTACTATGAGTCCTGTTAAGACTCAAGTCATTGGGAATGTTTTCATTGCATTACAATTTATCTAGCTAGAATCTGGACACCGGTTCCAAGTTACTGTACCTAGTACGTAGTTAATATCCAAGTCAATCTCTCAAACGGAAACAAATGCTGTATCTTCATCATGAACTCACATCCACACAAAACCATATCATTAAATAACAAGAAGGGGTATCATCAAACACAAAAAAAAACATCAAGAAGTATATCCGACCCTCCACAATCCATCTATCCTTCCATCCACTACACTCCCTCCCCAAGATACTTCAAAACCTCATCATTCTGATAAAAAGCCTTCCTCATCCTCTCCGCCCTCTTCTTATCCTCCGCGACCTTATTCCGCACCTGCTTCGAATTAAGCTTCTGCACCTTCGCCGGCGGCACCGGTCTAGGCGGCAACGGATCTCCATCCCGATCAAGCCCAGTTCCCAGTCCAGCAGTACCATGCTTGACGCGAGGTTTGATAGGTTCACGGATACCCTCACGGCCCGATGCGCCAAGCCCAAGCCTGCTGTCAGGATCCCAGCCGTAGGTAGAAAGGTATCGAAGACCTGAGCGCGTGCGGTCGAGGTGGGATGGCGGGTGGGAGTGGGCGAGACAAATCTGGTGTGCGAGAGAGGCTTCATGGGGACGTGATTTTTTGTCTGTTTCGTCTGCTGCGGCTTGTGATGGGAGAGCCAGATTGCACACGCCGCAGTATTCTGGGGCTGCGGGTAGAGGCGGGCGGGTTATGTTTTGAGTTGGTGGCGCGGAGTGTATGCGGATTGGTGGTGCTGGTGGGCGCTGGGTTGGTGTACTCGGCGAAGTGCTTGCGACTGGCTGCTTCATCACGATAGAGAGGTAGGTGTCTGCGATGCTGACGCCGGAGGAGGAGGAGGGCGTCGGGGCTGTTGTTGTGTCTAAATTGGAGGAGCGCACGAACTGCACGCGTTTGCGGCGAATACCGGAGCTGAAGGGGCGCTGTTGCTCCGGTGGGAGAAAGTAGTCTTCGTCTTCGGACGCCATGGTTGGGAATGGTAGAGCTGTGAAAGCAAGGAATGAAAGAGGATGAGGGGGCGGATCGGTATTAAATGGTGGCTAGGTCAAGAACAGATTAAATGAGAGAGCACTTGATCTATTCTTGACCTCTCTTCAGTGCTCTCTATGAGGTTCAATAGGGTCAATGGTAGAAAGCGGAAACTAGACAAAGCACAAGAGTAGGGAGTACAGAGATGTTGACTTGGGCTGATTAACGTGTATTCAATCCCAGAAGTTATCCCGACGGCCAAGAATTTTAAGGTTAAGATTGTCATAGCCACCCTGCCTGACTTCTCAGGTATCCCTTCCTAATTTGGTGCCGTTTCTGCCGGTGGCTGCCTTCACCGCCTTTGGATCTTGCACACCGCCTTCATGTTCAAGTCCCTACAACATAGACATTGTGGCCACAGACAGAGAATGCATGTCGTACCTTTAGCATCCAACCCCTAACTCAAATCACTTTTGATCCTCACTTCGTATACTAAAGCACCTCACTGAGTAGTTGTTGGTTCTATTTATCTATCTTTAATCCCTATATTCCATCCACCATCATCTAGAAAATATATAGGCCTGTAGGATAATCAACTACACGAATGACGGCTGAAACAGGCACCTTGATTTAGATGGGTTCCCGTGCGCTCCGTCAGTACCCACCTATCTGCGTCTATATCTTCAGACTTATCTTTCTGCATATGCACCACGAGTCCTATGCCTGGCCGAGTGCTTGCTCTCTTTTTCCCCGACATGCCCCCGCATGTGACCATGTCTGTTTGCTATCTATATCAATCTGGACTGGAATGTTTTTTTAAAGGGAAAAAACTGCGTAGGTTGATATTCTCTAGCTTCATGACTGTTATATGAGATATTGATTACATATAGAATCCACTTGTATTTCCAGGCGATAGTAAATCAATGAACCAGTGATAACTGCATGTATTGCATAGTCATGGGATCCTAATTGTCGTACAGAGAGTCCAGAGCTACATATACGGAGAAAGTGACCTGTCTTTTCCAACTATCCAGGCATGTCTAGATCTACATGGTGTGAACGATGTAGCATACAAGACTTATCTTGGCCTAACTAATTTCCCCCGGATCGTCAATTGATATTGTCTCTCTGGATTTATAAAAACACTACAGTATGGAGTCTTTAATTACTAATTCAATAAAGTTTTTTTTTTTTCTTTTTCTTTTCCTTGGACCCCAAAAATAGGGGAAATCTGTTGAGTGCAGTTTCAAGGCCATTCAAGGGCCAAGAAGTCTCTATTGGGCTTGCAGATCCCATTTTGCCTTCTCTCTCTTCAATTCAAAGACAATCGAACATCATTTGCGGGCGTAGGTAGAGTACCTGTACAGCCAAATCCATTCCATCCACCCTAGTTGAGGTCTTATACTGCGCCTCCCGCTTGATCTTGACTCCTCACATTTACATCTCTCCCTCTATTTCCTCCCATTCCTCTCACGGAATACCCTTCTTTTCCAAACCCCTCCCGTTGACAGTTCCCCTATTCCAACGGGGAAAATTCAAATCGTTATCTGCCATCGGGGCATCCTAAAATGTCTACAATCAATCAACCGGAGTCGGGGCCAACCTCCACCAGAGATAACCAACCCCCATTCACATCTTCTCCGCAGGATCTACAGCCCACAGCATCGACCACAGAGCTCGAAGCCAAATCAGACCTCGTCGCTGATGCGTCCATCTCATCTGTCCATGGCCAAACACGTGCAAACCAGGCCCAGATTCACCCCGCAACTGGCTTCAGTGGCGAAACTGAATTCGCCCCCGTGACAGCACCACCTACAACTAACCCTCCTCAGACTGTCGATAACGCACCCGCGGTCGCGCTGGCACAACAACACGCACCACCTTCAATGGATACTAAAGAGCCAAAGGCTGCGCCCGAGAGCTCAGCAGAGCACTCCGATGACGGCTCCAGGAAGGAAGTCGAGGAGGAGGCTGATGCAGGCCCGTCGCTGGTGATCACCCTGCTGCTGACGACAGGGTCGCGACACCCGTTCACTATCGATGGGAATTATCTAAGGAAGCGATCGGTGAATGTTGAGAACTTTGATCCGTTTTTGATGAGCGTCTACACCCTTAAGGAGTTGATCTGGCGCGAATGGAGATCCGGTAAGAGTTCACTCTGACCTAGACTTCTATGTGGGCATCGGATGGGCGGAACACATCTTGATGTGTGATGTCGTGGAATGCGAGTAGCTAAGCTAACACTGGTGTCGATGCAGATTGGGAAAGCCGTCCGTTGTCACCGAGCTCTATCCGTCTTATCTCGTTCGGGAAGTTGTTGGATGATAACTCGCCTGTTTCTGGTACGTTTTCATCATATTTGCATAGCTGCTATGGTTACAGACTTTGATACTAACCAACCGATTAGACTCTAGGTTCAGCAAGGAACATCCAAACGTCGTCCACATGACCGTCAAACCACAAGAAGTCGTCGACGAAGAAGACGCCAAGGGAGCAAAGCCACAGTACAGCCGAGATGGCGAAACCAGTGAGCATAGTCCTGGATGTCGATGCGTGATTCTATAATCTCGCCGGCCCAGCTACGGGTCTCAAGTGTGGACGGCCTGCCACTGCCTCCTGACAATGCTGTTGTCTGCTGCTTCCATCCTTCCATCCTCATACCCCAACATACCCCTCCCCTTCCCCTTTGTCCATCTTCCGCGAATTCCTCCACTCCATCAATCTGCTATTGCAGTGATAAATTTAATACTGCCTGGACGCAGGATCAACATCCCGGTTTTGTCAAGCCAACATGGGCGCTCTGGAAGCGGTGTTTGGACATTTCTTTCCTCCTACTGGATCTCTATCCTGGAACTGTGGATCTCGACTAATTTCTTCTATTTCCATGCCATTTCTGGGCCGTTCCCCTGTTCTCTCGTTGCCAAATCGTCTGCATGCGGGCCTCATTCATCTATCCATGAATCTTCTCTACTGGATTGCTCCGGGTTTTATTCGACCTGTGTCTTCCGAGGGCTCGATCTGAGGTTCATCCTTTGCTGTTCGCATTGCTGTCACGATTCTTCTTATCCCGTTTTCTCGATATATACCCCCTCCAATCCGACTTTCCTTTGCTTTGTGCTCTATCGTTTTCCCTGTATGGTTTCTTTTCTCATGGATTTTCATGTACCTACGACTTTGACCCCCTTATTTCTCTCTCTGTCCCTCTTTCCCTTGCGCTCCGTTGCTTTTGCTTGCTTTTTAAACTATCTAAGGGTGATTCCTCGTAGTGTACAGGGTGTTTTGGAGAAAGCCCCTAGGTTAAATTTCTTTGTCAAATATTTCATAACCTTTACAGTGCCCACATACTTCTGCGGTCGTGGTTAGACATACTAGTCAGGCACTTGGGGTCGACAATCAATAGAGATAGATATACAAAACTTTTTTTTTAAGGCTGGGGGGTGGTTCTGCAAGACTACTTGGTAAAAACAGATCATGGATGGATTCAGTATATCGAGAGTACCGCACTGCCTTGATAACAGACAGAAGCATCTGAAACACCCAAGTCCAGTGATCTATCATTCTATTTGACGACAATAGGTAGGAGGATGACGAGGGAACGTTAGAGGAGAATAGTAGAACACATCGACATGGAAAAGCAGAGAAACAAAAGAACACCATATCATCATAGCCATTAGAAATCCATCTTGAGCCTCTTCTCCATCTCATCGTGGAAAGCAGGCGGCTCACGGAGATCGTCACCTTGAGCAGACGCAAGTAAGTTAGCCAAAACCCATCCAAACCAAACACCAAAAAGCACCATATAAGAACCAAACATACCATGGTAAATATCTTCCCACTGAACCTCACTATCCCGACCTCCAATAACAAGAATATCCTCATGCACATTCCCACCCCGCACACCGCCAAGCACAGCAGGCCGGAAAGTCCCATCCCGAACGATCTTCAGCTCCATCCCACGACGAACAGGTTCCGCAATACCATACGCCCGACGCAATCCCTCCATCTTCAAGGCGTCCTGTGTGGCCCGCCATGCGAGAAGTCGCGCCTCGAGAGGGTGCGTAGATGTCGGAACCTCGCCGCTGGAGTTCGTGGACGACGCGTGCGCGGTGGCGGCCTGCGTGAGCTTGTTGCGGAGAGTGTCCGGTAGGCCGGGGGCTGAGGGAGCGCCTTTAGATGGGCGAGGTGCTTGGAGGCCTGCTTGTTGCCGGGTTGTGAGGTTGCTCGTTTGTGTTGCGTTGCCGCTTGGGGGGGCGATGCGGAGGGACTGGGGAGGGGGGTTTGTTAGTTTTGTGTTTGAAACAGGGGGCAGAGGTAGATTGAGAGATTCAAGGGCAGAGAGTTGGTGACGGTAATGGTGGTTCTAGATGCTTGCTTATGGGCTGGATTCCAGGGTGAGGTCCCGGGTCCATAGCAGCTTAATGACATACCATGATGACGGATGGATGCTAGGACTTTGGGATCAAGGCTCGAAAACACAGATTGGACAAGGTCGGGTGTGTATTCAAAGCTCAGAAAGGAGATAGAAAAGTAGAAACAAGAGCAAAGGGAGGATGCAAGGTGACAACCACCGATGATGCTTCAGGCAGAGAGAAGCAGCGCGGCCAGCTCCTACGACAGACAAGAGAAACCAACAGCGCAACATCCCCCAGCACCATCCAATCACGTGCCATGCTCTTCCGCCGGGCCAACTAAATTCTGTCGCGATATTCTCCAACGAAAGAGGAACCAAATCGCATACCTCACACCACCCAAGATGACTCAATTATTCTCCCCAATAGCTCTCCGGACCCTACGGACTCTTATCCACCGTCCTGCGGTCCCCTCACCCCTCTGCCGCACAATCACCACATCACCCGCTATCTCCTTCGCCTCGAAACAATCCCCCATTAACTCCCACCTCAACTTCCACCCTGTCTTCCGCACAGCCGCTGTCGGCTTCTCTGCCGTGCCAAAGCGGCAATTTTCTAGCTCACCGATCATCTGCGCTACGTACAACCAGGTCCGCCGCGGTATTCGCACTGGACAGCGGGCTCGTCGTGGTGGTTCGCCTGCGCTGAAGGGTACACCTGGTTTGAAGGGTGTTTGTCTGAAGACTGGTGTTACCAAGCCTAAGAAGCCTAACTCTGGTGAGAGGAAGGTTGCAAGAGTGCGGTTGAGTTCAGGGAAGGTTATCACTGCTTATATTCCTGGTGAAGGTAAGATTTATTTGCAATTTGATTGAATGCAATTGATGGAATGGGATTCTGTGGACTGTCCCGGTACTGGTTTTTTTTTAACGGGAATCTTGGCTAACTTTTTTGTACAGGCCACAATATCCAGCAGCATAGTGTTGTCCAGGTCCGTGGTGGACGTGCTCAGGATTGTCCTGGTGTGAAGTATACCCTTGTTCGTGGTGCGATGGACTTGGTAAGTCTTTTTTTTTGCTTCTGTTTGTATATCCCTATTTTAGGGGTGTACATTCTTCTAGGCCTTTTGCTGATTGCATGTGACTAGGGTGGTGTTGGAAGCCGTATGACGAGTCGCTCGAAGTATGGCGCGAAGAAGCCGAAGACCAACTAAGATGGATTCGGAGATAAAGGTTGATTGTGATTGACCTGCTGTGAGATTATACAATTTTGGCTGTGTATGATCAGTTGCTGTATAAGAGATGGCATCATTGGGCTACTTGAGTTTGGCATTTTGTGCCTTTTGCGAGGCAACTTCTGTTCATATTTGCATGTAACACTACGGATTGCGTTTGTTAATTATCATTTTGTTTATCTCTTTCGATATCCAGGCTCTTCAAGTCAAGCATAGTGATATCTTTGAAATTTTTGAGGCATAGAAAATGGTTCCGGTAATGTCTTCTTACTCCGGACCCATGCAGCATAACAAACCCCAAACAAGAACAAACGCTCGAAATACATATCAGACATCGAAGTAAAACTTCTTGTGGGTAACCGCGATAATGGGAATCAAAATGAAACAGTTGAATAGTAAACGTGCAGCTTTTTGCCCAAGCGTGGTAAAATCAATAGCATATTGCTTCATCCAGGTGAAATATCCACCACAAGCAGAGCAGTGGGGAAAGTGCACGGTGAATTTACCCGAGGTTTTATAGTTGCAGCGCAAATGGGTGACACTGTCAGCCTTCAGAATGCGCAGCGCTTCGTATCCAGACGAGACAACCGACCCGCGCATTGTCGCCAATAAGGAAACGACTGGGCTGTCCGTGGATATACCCAGAGGGATCGTGAGCAAGATGAGTAAATCAGTCGTATTTTTTGTCCCATCCGTTTGGCTTTTCCATTTTGGTGATATCGAACCAACGCTTAGTGCCTGTACTACAATTAGTTTCGTATTAGAGGTATAGATCGGAGCGTTTTAGACATACAAGAGTAACCTTTCCAGTCGAAGTTGTCTTTTGGTTGGCAAGAACACCTCAAGTCTAGACGTTTCTTTTCATCCGAAGGGCAATGCGTGAATGGGACATGGTAGTATGCGATATCATCCCAGAAGTGGATTTCCTCTTTCTTTAACATCAGAGAAGCGGCAATAGAGTGAACCGGCGCGTCGCCCCATCGCTCATAGAAGAAACCACCGTCCTTGTCCAAAGATGTGAAATAGTCAATGTATGCGTCGGATCGCAGCCACTCCAAGCTGCCAATTTCAAAGTTTGACCACTGCCGGAAAGGTTAGCGAGTTTGAAGTTATGCTCGGTTGGAAGTACTTACGAAATGGCAGTTGTTGTAGGTTTCTCCACCATCATCGCTGATGAATTCCATAGCATTTCCCTCGGAGATATACTCGGGGTGATTGCCTGTGAACTTCTTCACGCTATCCCACAGGGTAGGAATGGTCGCCACATACTCGTAGAGACTGATGACAAAACTATACTTCTTGTTGTTCTCCTTCATGAAGCGGAACGGATCGGAGTCGACATCGCAGTAGAGCTCAATGCTAGGTTCGACGCGCCAGTAGTACTCAAAGTTCATCATGAGCGGGTGGCGGAAGAAGAAACCGGACTCATATCGACACATATGGCGGTAACTCTCTGATCCGCCGTAAATGATCTTCTTGCGGTCCATTTCCTGTCGCGCATCTTTGGCCTTATCTTGGTCGATCCACTCTGGGTATGACCAGTGTTCTTCGGGAATAACACCATAATGAGTTTTGCCCGAGACTAGTGCGGTGGTCAATTTCTTGAACTCCTCGTCGAACTCCTCGTCGTTCAGGAACACCCAGTCGTAGTTGTAGTTGTGGTTGAAACGGTCTTCAACGGTTCGAATGGACCTGACCATATCCCAAAGGTCGGAATTGCGCGCGAGAGTGACAAAAGTGGCATTGACCCGTTCGGAATAGTGTGAGCCGATAACTTGCGGTTTTTGGGACTTAACCGAGTCGTATGTGGGGGTCTTGGGTGTAGGAGTGGTTAACCCGGTGGTAGGCATCGGGATGGAGGATTTTGAAACGAAGAAGAAAACCGCCAAAGCCTACCCACCGTTAGCAACCGACCTTCGTAATAATGGAAAGAAAGACTCACCACGACGGCAAAAAGTAAGTAGCGCGCATATCGAATAGTGATAGACATGGTAGTGTGGGGGGGAGGAGGAGGAGGAACAGTGATGATTCCCCGTCAAG